CTTTAAGCATGCTTCAGCTAATATCTAAATAGACCTAGGGGCATTTTTGAAATTTCACAAAAGTTTGGACCTAAGGTTAACAAATACAACACCATAAGTATGTAGATCACAAAATTTCAAATCTGACAATATAAAGATCACCCAAAATGGACACTATTTACCCATTCATCTTAAGACCTGAAGTTAGAATGATTATGATCGTTTGATTGTGATCATTTTAGTCCTAAGCCTTATCTTACATCAAGCTATAAATCCAACACCGTAGGCTTGTAGATCCAAAATTCCAAGTTAGATGATACTAAGTTCACCCAAATTCGAAAACATTTACCCATTCATCTTAAGATCCGAAGCTAGAGCCGATTTTGACCATCCAATCGGGATATTTTGATCCTAAATCACACCTTATGTGAGATTAGAAATTCAACCTTGTAGGTGTATATGACTCAAAATCAAGTTCAACAATACCAAGATCGTCCAATTCCAACACCAATTACCCCTCATCTTGAGACCCAAAGATAATCTTAACCGAAACCCTTTAGTTAGAATCTTCTTCTTTGAACTTGGAAGCTAGGGACCCACACGACTAGATCTTTTGCCCACCCTCTAGAATAGTCTTCACATTTAAAATTAACCATCTAAGAAACCTCCAATCAATCAAGCTAATCACCTAAACTTGTAATATTCATTTTAGGTAAATTTGTATGACATTCCACTTATTCTCTTGATTGATTGAAACAATCTCCACATGGCTGTTATGCTAGCCCTTTCTCACATTTAATATCCCTCCAAAAATATTTTAAACCTCAACCGTTGATCTCCCCAAACTCAAATCTTATCCATCCATTCCCTTTTAAATTCTTTCAAAAAAATCTATAAATACCCTCACTACCTTTCACCTACACACACATTCTAACCTAGGGGAAAGAAACTCATAGAATTCACTTACATTGCCATTATCAATGTCCAAGAGTTTTCTAATCACTCTCCTCATGTCCTTAGAATGTTCAAAGAAGGTAGAAGAGCAAGAAACCCCTTCGAGGCATGTATACATTCAATGAAAAATCTATGAAGCATCATTGAGTTCAAGCAACATAGTAGAGAAATCACAATCATCCAGTAGTGTTTCCTACACCCAAGGCTACATAGCACACCCAAAAATAGTCCAAAAATGGCTAAGGACCATTCCTAGAAGAGTTAGTCTCAAAGTCGTGCATTAATTAATAAAAAAGTGTTTAGAACTTAATGAAGAGAAAACATAGTGGTGAGATGATTCTGTCATCCAGCAGGTGTCTACACCTATTAGTTGCATTCTTAAGATCTTTTATAAGGTGTGATAGAGCCATACAACTTGTTTAATCTCTGGCATGGACAAGACTTCTGTTTGTGGCCATCAAAAAGGTATAATGTTCTCCTAGTTGTACACTTGATTCATATGTTCTTTTCTCTTATCTTCTCTTTTTTTTTTTTTATAATCTATGTTCTTATTTCTTAGTTCTCTGTTCTAAGTAGTCTAGTAGGGTTGGCTACCAAGCCGGATGATGAACACATATTTGTTAGTCTCTCTAAATAGTACCATCATTTTTTCTCTATTGTTTGCTTTTATTTATTTACTTTTTTACTTTATTGTAGGTTTTGTGGTTTTCCTATATTTTGTTGAATAGTTTTTAATAGAAATCTATTTTGCATTTTAGTATTACCTATAGGGTGTTAATTAATTTTGCATTTACTTTTTGAAAGAATAATTGCATTAGCATCATATTATAATTAAATGAGTCCTTCCTTATTTGCATATGATTTGAAGTTTATTTTCAACCTTCGAGATTGTCATGAGTTATCTATTAGTTTTTTTTTTCCTTCTTTCTTTTCTTCCTTGGTCTCCATCCCCATTGACAATCCAGGCTCCACCATTCTCATCTTTTTCTTTTTTCTTTTTTTTTTACAATTGTGACATCTTTTTAATAAATGATCAATCAGCAAACTCTTTTAGACATATCTCATCCCATTGCCCAATTAGTTAATTGCATCTCTAATTTTTCTTGTTATCTATTACTCGACCATTCCATCATTGCAATTAGTCATTTTTAATGCATCACATGGATCCAAATCCCTAGATTATAGTCTAAATAAAATATATAATGTAATTAGTAGTCCTATCATTCACCTAAACAATTTTAGAGCATCATTTCAACATTTTGTAGAGATAGTTTCATTGATTTTTTTCTCTAAGTCCCATCCTCACAACCTACATAGCCATCCCTTGCATTGAATCCATGTCTTGCATTATAGAGTAAATCATATGAACATGTTGACCCTAGTTACTTTGTAGACAATAACCCATATTTGTTATTTTGTCCAATATTTGTTTTATCTAAAAAACAAATTGTTTATTGTAGTCTTACATTCAAGAATTTAATATCAATTTTTTACCATGTAGGCTAGATTTAGCTAATCCTTGTCTTTCTTTGTTTGGTAAGTAGTGTTTAAGTAATTTAGTTTCAGCTCATATCATTTGTTATAAAGTCATAGCTTAGCCTACATGTTTTAATCAATCACTCAAATCATTTTCTCTTTTGTTTGCTACTCGTGTCATTTCTATGCTTACTCTTGTTCTCTTGCTATATAATTAGTAGAGTGGATAGTTAGAATTGCAACTCTTTGTTTTTCTCTTGCTAGCCTAGATTGTTCCTTGGTCCCCAAACCCTAAGAATCTCTATTCCAATTGGGCCAATGAATCACCAAGAAAAAATTATTGTCTTGAAAATTCTAGGTTTTCCTAAATACCCAATTCCCAAAAATTTAGGTGGAGACTCCATTTACCGTCTCCCTTTAGTTTTAGATAGCCACAAATTCATTGCAAATAGATGACCCAACCTATACCCTTTCTCTTTCACCTTCATATTGTGTCAGTTCTGAATCAAATAACCATCACGAGAAAATGTGAAAATATTTCCTTCATCAACAGAAATTAAATTGGTATTCATAATAGGATCTAAGAATGTCTTAGAAAGAGGAAAGGACGTAGTGGGTAAAAGTTTCAAGAATAGGTCATTACTACTAATGATGCTCAGTTTTTCACCATTAGCAATAACAATGTGTTTATTGTGTGTTCTAGTAAGATGACTTGGTTGGTAGGGAAAGACCCCAATCATATGGTTGGTGGAACTAGAATCAATAATCCAAACATGTGAGGAAGAAGAACAATACCTAGAGTACTTACAAGACAAGTTAATAATAGGAAAAGCAGAAAAGATAGCAAATGATACCAATTGCCAAATCCTCTCCTCACCCATAGAGACTAAAGTGTCACCTTTAACTGACAAATCTCCATTAGTGGACATAGTATCAGTTGTCTTCTCCTTTGTTACTTGATAAGCATGAGGTTGAATCTTCTTCTAAGCACCTTTGATAGGTTGAACAAGACAGTCTAGAATGATGTGACCATATTGTTGGCAATAGGTACAAACATTTTTCTTCTTATAGTGAAAAGCAACATGGCCAAAGCCCTAACGTTCAAAGCATTAGGTCTTGGAAAAGTACTTGGAGGATGACTTCTTACCACTATGAGCTATAAAGACTGTTTTAACCCTAAATTCCACCGTTTTCCCTTTAAGTCCAGTTGTAGTGAGGAGCCCAGCACTCTCTTCCCTAAGTAACTCTCCCAATACAAAACCTAAGTCTAGAAGGATAACCTTGCTCTAAGCCTCATTAGGAACTAATTTAGTTTTCTCTTTTCTAAATGTTGTTTAAAGATATTTCACACACTTTGTCAGGTTAAAATGGTCAATATGAACAAGCTCATATTCAACCCACAAATCAAGAAAGCCCATATAATATTCTTGAATGTTTCTATCCCCCCAAGAGTATGCAAATATTTTTGTTTCAATTTAATATTGTCTAAACATATTTGATTGTTGATAAACTTTCTTCAGATAGGGAGACATTTCATAGGCAGCCTTCATCCTCCTCATAGGTATAGTAATATGGGATTCTATGGAGCTGAGAATCCAAGAAACAATTTTTCCATTACCTAGCTTCCATTGTTGGAATGCTTTAGTATCAGTTTTGGCTGGTTTAGTAACATTCCCATTCAAATACCTTTCCAAGCCTTTCCCTTCAATACATTAATACCAAAATGAGACTTCCACATTCCATAGTTTGATCCATTAATCTTCACAGGAATAACATTACTCTATTAGAGGCCATTTCAACAAAGGAAATAATAGTCCAAACATAGTAATAATAGAGAAAAGACAAGTTTAACAACAGTTCACTTCAGTCTAAGGAAATCAAGAGATTCCAAAGAAATACCACAAACACCTCCAAGGGTAGAAAACTTAGTGTTGACGGTTCAAAAGTAGTAAATTTTAGGATTGTTGAATCCAAGCAGGGATCAAAATCCTCAAAGAAACAATCCAAAATCTGAAATGATTGAATGAGGAGAAAGAAAATCCTAGGGCATTACTAAATCTAGGGCTATAAGATGATTGAAGCAGCTGATTGAAAGGAAAAGATGATTTAGTAACCTGTCAGGTGTCTTTTCCAGGAGAATCACCAAGAGAAAGAGAGATCAAAACCCTTTTAGACTCAACCAATCCAGACCAAGCAAAGAGATATCAGTAATATCCTCTAGGTGACACCAAATCTAGGATTTTATGCAAGTCTAATGCATAAGAGAACCAATAAAGGCCCCTAAATTGGTAGCACAGAACTCCAAGATAGAACCTGTTGTCGATTGATCAAAACAGCCTAAAAAGAAACTTCAAACCAGAACATGAATGTAGAGTTAAAAGAACTTGAGAGAACCCTTCAATCTTAGTAGAAAATTGATGTCAAGAGCTACTGTAGAGAACCTGCTTTGATACCATGTAAATACTCTTGGCTGAATAGAATAAAGAAGACAAGAAACTTAGGATTGTACAGAATAATATACCTCCACTCCAAAGAGCCACTTATATATTGAAGTATAAGTACAATTACAAGTCTTAAGCCCGCTGCATTAAATGTGTGAAACACAGGCTTTTCCCCCTCCCACTCTTATATTTTCTCACCTTTTCGTATTCCCGTCTCCCCTCTCTTGCCCTCTCTCAGTCGACCATTTCTCATTTCTTTTTTCTCCTTCTCTCACAGTTTTCCCGCGTGACCTCAGTCGACCATTTTTTGTTTTGGTCTACCTACACATAATGACATCCAACCGGCGATGACATCGGTAGCGGCATCTCTCTCAACATTTTCATCCGTGTTTGAATCCGAATCTGAGAATATCTTCTTTTCACTGTTGGTAATGTCCTTTGCTTGAATGAGCTCATCCAACCGTAATACATCAAAAATAGGATCAAAATATGGGRAGTCCATAAAGAGAGGGATTATATCATTCTTCTCAATTGATGAGAGCAGATTAACTCAAGTTGATGAGCTCCGATTCATGCCCTACTACATCTCCAAGCACTCATGGGGTTTGCTCCGCCAAAGAACAAAGCTTCTGTGTCGTAAATGTGGGAACCTTGTTGGTCATGCTTATGAAGACAATACTTTCTCTTACCCCTCTGTACCAGATGGATCAGATTCAAGCTCAGGGAGTGGGGTTTCCTTTTGTCGAAAGTATGATGTCAAAATTCGTTCCTTACAGCCTTCCTCTTCTGAAGAATCTGGTGTTCCTCTTTTCATGTGATGCATATGAGAAGGTTCATCACATATTCTGCCTCCTTTCTGAAGAACCTTAAAGTTCAAACAACCATTCCAGATGTTGGAGATTATAGAGAGGTTATCTTTAGTTTGTAATCGAGTTCCTTGATTGCTGAACCATGCAAAAGGTGTTATTTTGGTCATTCAACTGCATTATCAAGGTCTTCTTCGGCATGATATCCTTAACAGGCATCACTCAGAACTTGCTATTTATGGACATGGTTGTTACTAGCATGCATCATTATTTCTACTTGGAGTGCTTGTTTGTTGGATGACATTGGCAGCAATGAGAACCAGCATTCAACAATGCTTTGTGATAGGAGTGAGTGGTAAGGTCCTGTGTTCTCATTGATCATCTTTTAATTATCATGTATGGTTTTATGTACAGACACTCAAACTCTTACTACAAGTTTTGCTTTTAGTTTTCATTTATAGATGATTAAAGATAAAAGTTAAAAAGATCAAGTCTGAATTTATCCCCAAATGTAAGGGGCTTGTGAAGATGTCATAATTGAGTATGTTTGGAATGGGTAGGCATAATTGTTGTCTGTTAGAACCTGTCTTATTATAAGCAATCTCTTTTCTTAAGATTTGTTTAAATTTACAAGTTTTCTACATTATACTAATGTTTGTGATTGGTCCTTAAATTGGAGGGGGAGGGCGAGTTCTATCCTTGGTTCAAAGTATTCATGTGTCATACATCTGTTTGTGAGGTTGCTGATACATGAAATATGAGGGTTAATGTTAATTTCCAAAGTTTAATATCTGCTTTTTTGATTAATTGACAGGTGAAGTTAAAATGTTGTAGGAGTATCAATGTTTTTACATGCCCTTTATGCATGAAAAATGAATAACGAGTGTGTCCATACTTTGAACCATGGTTCTAACTCCCTTGCCCTTCATCTTCAAAGTTGTAGTTTATTTACTTTTACTTTCTGTACTTGGTCCCTGCCCTGTTTAACTGCTAGCCACACAACTGAAAGAAAGGAAATTGTAATTACCATTGTTGCCCATGCTTCTTTTTATTTAAAATGATAAGGTTGCCTTGGATGCATAGCTCCTACAGGCAATATCGCATGCATATGGACATGAAAATAAGAATCAGAAAATTTTGAATTCTAACATTGTATACTTGTTTTTATTTTTTTTTGGGTAAAAGGATTCTAACATCATATACTTGAAATGGAAAACCTATGATTCTATGAATCCATGACCAATCAAATCTCACCTAAAACATCTTGATTTCTCCAAGGCAATGTCTCTTTAAACAAAATCTACTTAAATAAAAGGGGGAAAATGAGATCTCTACAACATTAATACATGGTTGGGAGGGTGTGGTGATATAAATATGAAAAAAAATGTGTCAAGTGTTGTCAACAATCAGAGTGTATTCACTTATAACGCAATCTTCAACAAGTATCATGATTATATCATGGATATTCATTACCCACTTTGGTAAGTTATAATTTGCATTTTGCAACAACTCTTTCAATCTTATTTTTATTATTGAGTTTATCCACAATGTAATGAAATAAATAGCAGTGTTTATGGGTGGTTAGAATCAGCAAATTTGGATCTCTGTTAATAGATTTATTAGATTAATTATGGGAATTTCAACTTACATTAATAGATATAGTAGATTAAAAAAATTATCATTTTCTGTATTTCATGGGTATGTTCCTCAGTGTCTGCTAACACCTTTTCTTGATAGAGTATCAGAAACATCATTTGCTGATGTAAGGACCCAGGCTGAAAGAAGTTATTGCCTCCAAAACTGGTTTTCAGTTTTCCGTCCATTGTCGTTGTGGAGTACTAGAATGAAGGAATTCTAGTTCCAACTGATGACTATTAATTATATTTTTATTGTTTATTGATTTCCCATAAGATGAATCCCAACCCCCACAAGGCTAGGACTTAGGACTTAGGAGTGACCTCTCACTGTAACAAGTTGGAGGGCTGATAACCTGCTCAAGGGCTGAAGAGTAAGGATCTTGGGACTTTTACTTTGCACAAAAGCCTACTTTAGGGCTCAGGTAGCCCCAGTCACTAGTTTTGGAAGCAGCCTTTGGGCTCTCTAAGCCCTTGCCTACAAACCAACATTATTGGTAAATCCACCCCAGTACAGAGTTCGACAACTGAAATTACAAATTCTTCCCCAATCACATCCTGGATTCTTGGGACAGGAAGTAGCATTCAATTCTACCCTAATACGCCCCCAAATAAACTCCATCCCAATCAACCATAAAAATTAGGAAATAATGTTGCCCTCCGAAATCAAAATCAACCCTAACCCTCAGGCCTCAACCTAGAGGTGTAAATCGGGCCGTGCTACCCGCGGCCCCGGCACAAACTTGGACCGGCCCGGTATGACGGTTTGCGGGCCGTGCCAGGCCCGACACGACCATGCGGGCCATGTTGGGCCTGGGATTTTAGGTCCACGGGCTGGCACGACACAACACGACTGAGCAAGTCGTGCCACCCGCGTTCCTCGGGCTAGCACGACCCATATATATATATTATATATTTATATATATTTTATATATATTTATATATATTTTATATATATTTATATATATTTTATATATATTATAATTATATAATAATATATAGTATATAATATATTAATAAAATAAATATTTTTTTAATTTTATTATACTAATTTATTTAATTATTGCATATATAAGCAATTTTATACACAAAATTCATATAAAATTAAAATTTTAAGTTTTTTTGTCAATTTTTTTAAATAAATAGCTTTGGCCTGATACACAGCCCGATCCGGCCCAAGGCTCGGCCCACGGGCCAGCCCAGCCTGTGGCACGGCACGGGCCCACATGGGCCGTGCCGGGCCGACCCCCAAATTTTTCACCGGGGAGGGCGACACGACCCGTGATGGCCCGCCGGCCAGCACGGCACGACCCGCACAAAGCTACATGGCACGACCCGCACAAAGCTATTTATTTAAATAGCTTTACACCTCTACCTCAACCTCAGCTTTTCTTAGATGTTCAAATTAGCAACCGACCCACCTTGAGGTCCAAACTGCCACATCTATTTATAGCTCAACCTTGAATCTCAAATACACCTAGAAATGTCAATGGACCAATTTTGGGTTGGAGCCTATCCAAATCAAAATCAATTTGGAGGATTGGATGGAGCAATAAGACATATTGAATTGGACCAGTCCAGACTTAATGGATTTATATTCGATTGGGTCTAGTCCATTGATAGAAAATAAGAACACAGGTGTCAATGTCATCATGCCCAACACCACAAAGCCCAACAAATATCCTCTAGTTCATTCTCAAGCCTGCATGAAGCTAACTTTTATTATACCTTCTTCTGTAAACCCTTTTAAAACGTCTACAGAGCCCAACACCACAAAGTTGAAATTGCAATTATGTTACTGGAGAAACAGAGGTTTGTGGTCATTTGAGGAAAAAAAAAGCTAAAATATGAAAAAAAAGTTAACTTCTTTTTAAATTATACAAACATACATACATGTCTGCATGGCAATTACTTGTGTCATTCCAATCCTATCAGTTTGACTAATCAGAACACCCCCAGGTGAATTTTGATGAATAGTTGACTGGATACCACATCTATGATACCATTAGAAAGAGTAGTGTTAGTATCTGCTATTATTTGTCCACCTATAGGGACAACTGAGCTGTAAATGATGTTTCATCTACATATCCTCAAATTTCTTTCACTACAAAAAAGCAGGTGACTGCCGGCACAAACTTCACAAACTTTATCAATTCAAGTAATTATGTATTTTGTTAGGTAATTTTTGAGTCCTGAATAGTTTAGTAAATACATGTTGGTCTTGTTCCAGTAAAGCATGATAGCATATTTGGTTATGACCTAGATATAGATGAAATAAGTATTGTTTCGGAGGTAAGCAATAACCTTCTCCTTGTTCCCTTTCTTTTCCATTGTCATTTGTCGGGTTATAAATTTCTATTTTGAAGGAGTTACAAATTCGTGAGGTGAAACTTCTTGTCAGGTCTTGGAGAAGCTTGACCGCCCTATCTTGTATTCTCTCTCTCATAGAACTAGTGTAACACCTACCATGGCAAAGGATATAAGCGGTCTTGTGAACATGTACAGAATAACAGGGGATGATTGGGATTCATGGGGGAATGTGGTTAGCTCACTTCAACATATCAAGGCAAACTGCTGTTCTTTAATTTAGTTTGATTATATTTTTTTTTTTTAATTAGGGTTGAAATTTCCAACTTAAGCTCCATGTTCCAATGTTCCGTCTCTCTCTCTCTCTCTCTCTCTCTCTATCAGCATCTTATATTTACTGTTTTAACAGGGACTTTGCTGCCACCAATATGATAGGAGCAAATGGCTTGAAAGGGAAGTCTTGGCCAGACTTAGACATGCTACCACTAGGGTGGCTTATAGATCCAGAGCTAGGAAAAGGTACCTTGTAAAGGTTTCCCTACCTTTTCCTTCAAACCAAACACAGCCTTGAGGAGTAGGTCGGGTTCAACCCAAAATCTCAAAATATGCATGTGTTATTGTCTTCTTGCCAAGATACTATAAAGCAGGTCTAGGATCATTGGAACAGAAGTAAAGATGACCTAGTTACTTTATATTAAGGAGAACTAAATTTCTTTAAACTACTATGCAGCAATTCTTGTTTAATCTTTTCTTTTAGCTATCTAATATGTCATGCCATGATTTGAACTGTCTAAGCATGCCAAACTATCTAATATGTGATCACAACAATACATAACATTGTTGAGGGGCGATTTGTATTGGATTGCTTAACTGCTTGGGTCCATCTTTGCTTGCTTGCGTTTTAAATTTGCCACTGGTGGATTGGCAAGAATCCAACACTAGCCAAATTATTTAACTTTCAAACAACAAAAGACCAAATAGAATCCATTAAATGCTTTCACTCAAGACTTTAATGTGATTCACACTGATTTTTTTTTTTTTTTCTTTTTGGTATAGATTCACACTAGGTCAAAACTCCTTGGCATTGATTTACAAATTGCTCTTGATTTTGATTCAAGTCTTGCCATTTTACTAGAGTTGTACCCTGATTTTTATTCAATCCATTGCAGACAACATTGGCATTCTCCCTATGAACAGATGTTAGTGCATGTGGTGCATGGAATGCATTGGTTAGGATTTTTGTTAGTCTATGGAGTATGGACATGTCATCTGATATCTGTTAGCTTCTTCTGTATTTTGGAAGAAGCCACCAATTTGCAGGGTGGCATCTCAAGGTAGAAGACAACCCAAACCCTGTTTCACATTTTCACAAGGGGGTAAAACTGTCTTTGCATTCAGATCACAAGGGGTAAAAATTCACGTTTTCCCCCAGCTGCCAGCCTGACACCTCTAATCTCCTTCCAGTTCTAATCAAGGAAGAAGGGTCAAGACCAAGTAGTGTCTTCAAGCACACATGGTGTTTGCTATCTAGAGCTGTATCTTCTTAATCTACAATATTTGAACAATTTTCAAAGAAGATAAATGGCTTGATAATTAATTATTTTTAATGAAGATGTTCAAATATTATGTTAATATTCTCTTCCATGCAGCTGTTGAGAATGTATGTTTCTCCAATAAAAGAGATTAGAGGTGTGGATGATTTACAACTAAAGCTTGTTAATAAGCCAGCTGTTGGAAATGTACCTAGACATCCACAACAAGGACAACAAATTGCCATTGTATGGTTCTTATCCTTGTCATTTTTCCAGCATGATTGTATTTTCTCTCTTCCTGTATTTAATTTTTTGCTCTTGTATTTCTATCATTCCATGTGTATTAAATGATTATCTGATTTCTGTTATCATGTCAATGCCCATCTACCTGCTAAGGGCATGGACGTGTGCCGTGCGAATTTGTCAAGCCTCTTTGAATGGGGGAAAATATATGGAAAAAGGACTCTTAATCTGGTCAAGAAGGGAAGTTCCCTACATGACTTGTTCTCTTTTTGCCACATAGAGGGATGATGTGGCTAATCAAGACCATCCACAAGGTATGGGGCCCTTTGGAGTATGGATTGTCACATGTTCAATTTTTCAGTTCATGCCGGCCCTATATCCTACCTTGCATTGGTGTTTCCCCAACTAATATTAACCATTCAAAGTTTTATTTTTTTATTACAAAAATTGACTATTAAAAATGCTTATGTTGGACATGTAGTCTGTAGCCAAGAATTTTGGGTTGAAATTTCCCCCATAGAGGGAAAAACACCATTTCGAGTTGGGGTATAAGTTGATTTGGAATGGAGGATTAAACATGTGGTCAGTTGAAGAAATGGAGTAAATTGCGAAGGGAAGCTCCCTAGTCCCTACCCAATTAGAAAACCATTTTTCCATGCACTCTATATTTAATATTACAGATTTTGTTGGTTCATTCATGTATGATCTACCCATGGAGACATGGCATCACATCTTGAATCCAACTTCATAAATACTTATGCAAAATCAGTACACTTGCTTAATACTATTAGAACCATTCATCATACATAAACTGCATGGCATGTCTAGCTCCTTGCTGACTGCATTTCATGGGTAGTTTTATATCTTATTAACTTTTGAATTTTAATTTTTTCCTATTTGTGCAGGAAGTGCAGAAAGAAGGGTTAAATGTTTCCTTGAAGTCTCGTGAAGGATTTCTGATATTCTTTTTAATCATAACTGGTGCTACTTCAACGATGGTGAAAAAAGTGGGTATTATCCGATGACATAGCTTTATTGGTTCAAGCATGGCAAGAGAAAGATTATAGAAAGCATGGACATGTTTATGGAACTTATCTCCTCATATGTTAGAGTTAATGAAGGAAGTGAAGTAGACCCACCTTTGAGGATGGAATTAGCATGCACGCTATGGTGATTCGGAAAGTTGAAAAGATTCTTTTCTTATGGTTGCCCATATTGGAGTTCAAAGGGTTGACAATTGCCAATTTTTGTCTGGATTGAAACTCTACCATCTTTGATTCTGTTTTTTATGTATGATGTACAAATTGTTGTATATGCATCACAAAAATATATGACCATATTACAATTTTGTAAATGGGTTTTACTTCATGTTTACTGATACAATCAATATCCTTGTAAGGAGAGAGAACTTTGAAGCCAAAGAATAATCATTATTTGTATTTGTATCATCCAAATATAATGTGTTTGATTTGTTTTTACTTTCTAATAAATGGTTTCTTTTTAAATAAAAATAAATATTTAAATTACCCAGACTCTAGCTTCTCCTATTACTAAAGAATGTGGTTCCTCTCATAGATGGATCTGAATGAGAACATCAAGGTTTACTCATCTTTAGCGGCAGTCGCGACCGCCACTAAACATGCCCTTGACTGCCGCTAAAAAGATTATAGCGGCAGTTGGTTCAGCTTTTAGCGACAGTCTAAGCTGCTGTTAAAAGTATTTGTAGCGKCAGTTTTTTGTTTATACCGGCAGCCGAGAAAACTGCCGCTAGAACTTCTAGCGACATTTTTTAGCGGCAGTTTGCCGACTGCCAGTAAAGTTTTAGCGACAGTTTTGACTGCCGCTAAAAGTCTTTTTTTTTTTTTGTAGTCTCTACTCTGAGTTAACTTTGATGCATCTTGTACCAGGTGGTGGTATTTATTTGGTTGCTAGCGTAGCCAAGTCATCGATGCTAAAGCTTATAAATCTGGTGTTACAACCATTAATACGGCTGAAGCCTGGGCTGCTTGGAAAGCTCACAACAAACCATAAAGTGCTTGATATGTTGTGGAAACTAAAGAATAGTTGCTGATTGCCTGTAGATGAAGGACCTGTTTGAGAAGGGATTAATATACAAACATGTGTATCATAAGGCTAACCAAGTTGCTAATTATCTTGCTCACGAAGCCCAATTATCTGTTCAGTGTTCTATTTTTGTCAATCTCCGAGACCTCCCCTGGTCTCTTGCCTGCCTATCTTTGTTCTAGTGATAGTGATTAATGGGGACATGTTACCCTGTTTTGTGTAGCCTGAATTTTCATAAGTTGACATAGACCTACCTCGAGTGTTTCAGAAAGACTTAATTCATCAGGATTTAGCATCACGACCACTAGTAGAAGAAAGATGAGACCATTTACAGCAAAAAACTCTAATCCCCTTGGTTTAATTTTCCTCTTGTTGTCCTTATTGTGGCTTTAGTTTATGCACAAAGAATCATTAGAGGAATACATGGGTCTTAGAGAGAAATCCGAACAGCAGGTTATTGTAGGAAGTGACTAATTTTGAAGCGGAAGACATCAAATCCGGTGACTTATTCTGTTAAACTATGTTGATTTAAATTACGGCATGACTAATAGGAATCAAGTTAGATACAATTTAAAGTACATCTAAATATCTATTTCCTCAAAACTAATCCTATTTTTTAGTTGTTCACCTCTATCTTCCTCGTCGTTGTCATTACTCAAAACCGTGGATACCTCTACAACTACTCTTGATTTCTTTACAGCATTGTCGAATGAGTTCTTGGATGAATCAGACAGGAAGAGGAAAAGCCAAATTTCAATGTCTTCCACTGATCCTAATTTACATGTGTAGTTGCAGTTCTCAATGCGGTCAAAGGAGTTGTCCTAGCTGCCTTAAAAAAAAAAAAAAAGTTGTCCTAGTTAGATTGCTTGTTTTGTTTTTGCTATTAGTTACAGGCATCATCTCTTTGAACAAACTTGGCCCATCTATCTCCTCTTGATGAAATTGTTTGCGTTTTTGTCCATCACCATGATTGTTAATATCATGCATTTCTTTCATTTCTAAGAACTATTTTTCGTGATTATGGTCAAATCTAGCTCAAATGAATCTCAAATTTGAGTTTAGCTAATGGTTTAGCTAATTAACTRAACTCTATCCTTACTGTTTATATATTGTCTTAAAGTATTTTTAAGTTTTCTGATAATTGTCTAAAATCTCATTTACCGTTAATTTTTTGTCACGCTTCGTCACATATGACATCACGCGAATCATATATTCTTCAAAAATTCCTAAAATATCTTTTTGTCATCTTTTGCAATGATTTTTATGAAGAAGTCTTCCTTCTCTCTATCTCTCTAATGTGAAATTGCTCATGATCCCCCTCGCTCCCCTCCTCTCTCTCTCTTTCTGCAACTATTGGGTAGAAATACTTCTACAATTGTCATCAGTGCACTTCCAACCTAGGTGGTGGATGATTTCCGGAATGGGAAGATAGGGAATGGAAATGTGTGATCAAATAATGGTTGGACAACTCTACACCTACAACCCAGGTGGTGGACCTTTTTCTCTTATTTTTTAGCATACTTCTTTTATCGGGCGCTTTAATGTTGTTGACAAGAGATTTCTCCTTGTCACGCTCTTTGGTTTTAATTTGAAATGGTATAAGGATGTGAAGGACTGAAATAATAAGCTCTAGTCAAAGATTGAGTGAATTAGGACTGAAATGATAATATGCGGTGTTCACTTGACGCTCAAGCCGAGGTGAAAATCGTTGAGACAAATAAGAAGATAGGAACCCTGTCTCTCATGTATCGATTGGGTCAATTTGCCCTTTATTCTTTTATTTAACTTAAAAAAGTAAATCTAGGAAGAAAAAAAATAGACCAGACCGGAGTTAGAAGGGACAATAACAGAGGAAGCAACAAAGAGTAACAGAGAGAGGAAGGAAGGCTTTGGCTTCCTCTCCCATTTTGGTCACCAGAAGCAAGGTTTAAAAGGCGTATTGTATCGTATCTTTTGAGTTTCGATATGCTTGTTTACAGGTGTTTCGGGACCCCACTATTTTCTAATGAAAAATATAGGTATTAAATTCCTCGAAAACCAAATTTTGAAAAAAAAAAAAAATCATATATCCATGTGATTCAAAGTATGGATACACCTCTGCCTCGAGGATTGGCATGGGTTGTTGCTCTTGACATTTTAGACTTGATTGGTAAACATTATTGAGACTGAAGCATTTCACTGTTCTCATCGAACTTAGTGGTTCGGAATCAGAGATGACAGGGATGAAACTCATATAAACAACAGACAAGTACGGATACATGATGCAGAATTCTGAATTCTAGCCCCCCCACTACTAACCCTCTCCCCCCTATAAACCACATCCTGCCCATGAATTTGGCATCAATTCACGGTCAGGATGCATTCCCCCCGTACTTTAGGGCTATAAAATTCTGATCTGGGCTGATAGGTCATTCTCCCTATAAACAATCCAATAGAGAGAGAATAAGGTGAGATCACCAACGGGATAAGACATCACCGCATAAAGCATTGGAGACAGAGAAGGATTCGGAGGTGAAGACAGAGCATCAATTTGCTTCCTCATCTTCATTAAATATTTTATCAATTGGATTTTATTTTGAAATTTTGAAGAATAGTTAAGGGCAAATTTAACATTTCATTTTTTTTCTATTAGTAATTAATCACGATGTCAATTGTTAAAGAACTTAAAGGTACTTTAAGACAATATATAACAATAAGGGTAGAATTAATCAATTAGCTAAACCATAAGGGTACTTTAAAAAATTTGCCCATATTTTTATGTATGTGTTTGCTTGCGTGGGTGTTTATGGGTTAGCCGTTTATTTATACTTTTTCACTTTAAACGTTTATTTATATTTTTTCATTTTTTCACTTTTTTTTTATTTTAAAAATTTCCTATTTTTGTTGTTTGATTGAACTTTGCTTTAAACGTTTTTTTATTATCTACCTCAGATTAATACCCATTAAAGTGTATTACTTTAGCATTTGGTTTCAAAACACTAGGATATTGGGGGAAACAAGTATTTAACATGTCCCCATATGCCCCATGCATAAAAATCAAAATGTTTCAATTTTTTATCATTTATCCGATGAAACGTGAAATTAAACAATTATTTCATTTTGCTTTGCATTACCTACGTGATGCTGATGTGGCGGAGTTTTTCAATAAACGCCACGGCACCAAACACAGCATATGTTCTCTACCTCAATCGAGATCATCTCCCTTCCCGTAACTCGTACGTTGTGTTATTATTCATCGGACATGTCCACGGTGGAATGGGGCTGTGAGGTGCGATTTGTGGATTGTCTAAAACGCCGCTCACTAGTTCCGTACGCTTTATTTTTTCTTAATTTCTTTTGAATGTTCCCATATTATGCTCTGAGCCCACAACGTTCAAAAAGTGTCGCGTTCTCGGGTTCGAGATTTGCCGGTGTTTTTTGTCTTTTTTTTTTTATTTTTTTTTTAAATTTTCAAAAACCAGCAACAAAGAGAGCAGTGATCGGCTATAAGACAGGGATTAACCGGCTTCGAGAAAATCCCCAGCTGTATATCTTCTCGAGTTCCTCTCAAATTTAATGCAAATTGGTAACTAATAAAACCAGTAACCCATCTGATCGTCCTGCCTGATTTGGTAACAAACAAAATGAAGGTAAGAAGAAAGAACACGCACCAGTTATCACTCCCCAGATTAGAGATTTGATATTCCTCTCTCTTTGGGCTGAAGAAGAAGAAGAAGGGCTCGTCTTGTTGGCTTTGAGTGATATTGTGTGATTGTCTTTTCTTTGCGCTCTTTCATCAAACACTTTAAGGTCTCACTTTCCAGGTGGGTGTGTTTCATTTCCCTCTTCAATATGATTTCCTTGTCACGGACAAGAAGATTTTAGTTTTCAATCTCTTTTGGTTTTAGGGATAAAAAAAAGAAAAAGAAAAATTGTAGGTTTGATCAACCTAGTGGAATCCAGACGGGATGGCTTGCTACTCGATCCGTGCATGGACTTTCTGTGGGCTCGTCGGGGCTTTCCTTGATCTTGCTCTGACTTATCTCCTGCTTTGTGGATCGGCTATTGCCTTCTTTGCTTCGAAGTTCCTGGGTGTTTTTCGATTGCATTTGCCATGTCCCTGTAACGGGTTTTTCGGTGTTCCGAATGGAGGGAAATGCTTGCAGAGACTGCTGGTTGACTGTCCAACTCGGAAGATGGCTTCTGTTCAAATGTCCGTGAAGAGTAAGTTCCCTTTCGATACAATGTGGATGGAAGATGAAGGTTGCCACTCGAATTTTAAATTTTTGAGAGATAGGGACTGCTGTGATGGGTTACTGGAAATGAAGGGAGAAGCTTCGTGCAGCTCGTTTTCGTCTGTGTCTTCTGATCCTCTAAGCTTTTACAGTGCCAGTGAAATGGGGCATGAAATCTCTGAAGAAAGCTCAATGCCTGTCAATTCTGGAGCAGATGACCTTCAAGGTGAGTGTGGATTGTTTCTAAAGCTTTACATCGTATCAAATCCTTTATTTTAATTCCTTTAACTCCGCATTACATCTTTACACACAATCCTTTATTTTCAGTTCCTTTTGCTACTTCTGCTGCATTTTATAAACTAGGATTCTATTTTCTTCAATTCTTTGAGTGTAGTACTGAACATGAATTTCAGTGATTTTGATTTGGTTTATCACACAGTTTTGCAATAATGGTTGTTGCAGTATAAGGAACCATAACGTTTATTTGTATCAGATGCTAGTGGGGCTCCCGGTGGGATCAGTGTGGGTGAAGGAGACCAGCATAACTTCAAAATGAATGTTTTGTTTGGTGAAAGTAAGACCATGGAGAAGGACGCATTTTCTGTTGGAGAATCAGTATTCCATTCACCTGATGAGCTGGATTTTGATGGAAAGGACTCCGATGCAATTAGAGTCTTGGAACAGGCACTTCAAGAAGAGCAAGCTGCTCAGGCTGCTTTGTACATTGAACTGGAGAAGGAAAGAAGTGCTGCTGCAACTGCTGCTGATGAAGCCATGGCCATGATATTACGCCTGCAAAAGGAGAAGGCGTCGATAGAAATGGAAGCTAGACAGTATCAGAGGATGATTGAAGAAAAATCTGCTTATGATGCAGAGGAAATGGACATCCTCAAAGAGATTCTTATTAGAAGAGAGAGGGAGAAGCACTTTTTGGAGAGAGAAGTTGAATTTTACAGACAAATTTTGCATTTTGGAAATGAGAAGTTGAAAGGTGATGAACATGAGTTGACTGAAATATCAGGACAAAGGCCTAATTTTCTGTTCGATTTGAGTGAAGACCCAGTATTGTTGCTGCAGCGGATTAATGAATCCATTGGCAAGAGGGAAATCATGAAGAGCACAGAAAGATCATCAGATAACCATGCTTTAACAGTGGAAGAAGAAAGTGGTAACAGTGCTTTTGTGAAAGATCCACCGTCTGCTGACTGGGATGAGGATGCCAATTTTCTGAAACGAGGCAATATTCAAAGGAAAATTGGTATTGGCAAACATTATCTGCATGCTCCAGGTTCCATGGATGAGTGTAGGCAAGACTTTCAGGAGAAGGGAATGATTTCCATGTACAAGAATCCATGTGCTCTTCATGAGGAAAGGCAGACAGATGCCAGATTATATACATCAAACAGCCTTCAAGCTCATACTTTGCTTGACAAAAGTCTGATAGATGAGAAACCGAGAGAAAAGAATAATGCTATACAATGCCAAGTAATGGCAATGCAGGATGATCAAAATGATAGTGGAAATGAATTTACCTTCTCATTTGATGGTGAGAATCTGGAAAAGCATGGGAAAAATGCAGATCTAGGACAGAGAAATTTAGATGTATTTATGCATGACAAAGAAGCAAGTCCTCATGATGTTCATATTGTTGAAAATAGTTCTAAGTTGTACAAGGAGGGACTTAGAGATGAAAGTGAATTACTTTTGATGAATAAAGCATCAAAGAGATCAAGGAATTGTCCTCCTCCACTTGACACTTCTGGTGACAGGGGGTTTGATTCTGTAAGTGATTGTGCAAGCACAAGCAAGGTTGAGACTGAACCAGACATTCACCAGAGAAGTTCAGAGATGACAACCAGTAGGATGACACGTAGAAGTAACTCACATGGCAGAGCTTTGCCTTCATGCTTACGGAGAAATTCCATGTCAGCAGTTGATAATGAAAGATTGAAACTTGACACTGAAGTTGGGTGGCTCAGAGAAAGGTTAAGGGTTGTCCAAGAGGGAAGAGAGAGGTTAGCTTCTTCTATGGAGCACCGGGAAAAAGAAAAACTGCAGCTGAAACTTTTGGAGGATATAACTAACCAGCTTCAAGAGATTCAGAAGCTAAAAGAACCCAGAAAAGCTGTTCGACGAGCTTCTCTACCCCCTTCATCTTTGAAGGCATGTTGTAGCAGTTAGTGATGCTTTCTGACTGTACTTGCATCTATGTGGAATAGAGAAACTGTATTTACACGTCCAGCTTGTTTCTCAAGGTCATGGCCATCCCTTATTTTTCTTGATTAATGTCTTTTGTCTATGGGGATGGTTATGAATTGGGTTTAGAGCAATACAGTGTTAACTAATGTTTACCAGCCTCAAGCTGAACTTGACCCTACCACTTCCTGATTTACTTCATTCTAATTATTGTTGGTGGAGTTTTTGAAGCTTGGTGCAAATCTTTGAGATAGATTGTTTTATTTTCATCTTTTTTGAATTTTGATGAGTGACAATTTTCTCACTCTATCTAGTTGTATCTTTTGATGCTCTTTGTATTATTCAACATGATTTGCTGGGACTGGAGTCGTAAAATCCTGCATATGATATCGTGAAAAGAGATCAGTGAACTCGAGAACTGGATTGATCAACCAGTTCTGGAGTAGAATGCAGCAATTAAGGAGCTTGAATCAGAGTTGGATGAAAAGACAAACGGTTACATTCTTGTAAATGCAAATGGGGGCTTCAATCAGATGAGATTTGGGGTCTGGATATTGTGCATCCTGGTGATTCAAATAGGCTTCTATAGAAATGTTAATAACAATTGTTTTCTGATGAATAAATATTTCTAGTGGTCCAATGCATGTGTGACACCCATTTTGAGCAACTCCATCCATTAACTCCGGCGACATGTTATGTAACATCAGCGATGCATCAACACCGACGACTATTAAAATTGGCGATTGTTAACTCCGTCGACTGTTAAAACTGGCGATTGTTAACTCCGGCGACTGTTAACACCGGCAACAAATCTCAGAAACATGCGTCGTTTAGTAGCAATAGGATCAAAAACTTTTGAGTTTGAATCATCACTTCATAAACACGATGGCGTTCTAGCGTTTACTGAGAAAGGTAGAGGTGCTTGGTCGAAAATCTCACTGCAGTAGAAGAGGCGTAATGGTTGGGAGATTTTCATTGAGAGGCGATCAAAGATCAAAAGAATTTGGTAAAGGAATGAAAGCACGCCCGCAGAGGGAAGGTGCTTCTTCTTCAAGTAAACAAAAACAGATGGGGTAGGTTCATCTGCTTAAGTTGATGGGAGCTTGCTCAAAAACTTAGTCATTTGCATCCCCGAAGAAGCAAGGAAATTGGGTTGGAAATCTTTCGCTAAAGTGTTAAACTTACTCCTCCCAAGTCCTGGATTGCCAACCTTTGAAGTTCCCTTACAAGGGGACTTTCCATCCTTATCGGCAATGAGCAGAGTCGTCAAGGATGATGGTTCATCCCACATCTCCATAGCCAATCAACTGAGACCCTTCGGCAAATGGAAAGATGCTTTTGTGTGCTCCAAAACTGATGACCTAACTTGGAACGAAGTCGAGCTAGGAATTTCAGCTAACCTTCATTCCCCAGAACTCATATGTCTCCACCCCTTCTCCCGAAACAAAGCTGTGGGTTTTGCCTCGTCTGAAGATCTAGTCTCTATTTGGGTAATGTTGGAGAAGATTCTCGTCTATGGCAGGTGGGTGAAGATTGATCAGTGGTGGCTGACTGTTAACGCAGTCCCTTCTGGGTTAAGTTTTGATGGTTGGGTCTTAGTTCACAGCCTCTCGTTCCATCTATGGTCGGAAGAGGTGTTTTCTTTGATAGGAAGCTTATGTGGAGGGCTGGAAGAGATTGACCCCAAAACCAAAGACTGGTTGGAGCTGAGCTTTGCTCGTTTGAAGGTGAAAAGCCGAGGAGTTCACTCCATCCCCCGATCGATACCAATCCTTGATAGAAATGTTTGCTTCTTCGCCATGATCGAAGTAGAAAGAAAACTAAGTAATCTTCCCCTTCCACCGAGTCAACTCGGAGCAATGACCCGCGAACTTGGGGTACTCTTGTAGCCTTAGTTGAGCCTGTGGACGCATTGGAAGCTTTCGTGCTAAGGACGACAAAAAGGTGGTGGTCTTTGAAGAAGCGTGCAAAGCAAGTAAGAAGCAAAACCTTGGCTCATGTCCCAAAGCCCGTTTCAGAGCCTATTTTTTCGGACCCAGGTGCTACGAAATCTTACTGGTTACCCAAATTCGACTCGGTTAAGCAACCCGTCAAACCATCGGGCTGTCACTCACCTTTGGACCGGGGAGAAGGCCATTCCAAGCTTAGCCCTCCATCGACACCAACTTTCAGCGAACAAAACATCCTGCAACTCCCCCAAGTCTAAATACTCGTAGAAAGGGAGTCCATCGACCCCCAACACTGTCACAGAGCTCGATYCCAAGTTCTTCCGGAGAAGACAAATCTGAGTCGGATGAAGACTTAAGCACTTACAGGACAGAATCAGAGATGGATACTCAGGAGATACCTCTCGACAGATCCAAAGTCCTCTTTGCAGAAAGAGAAGCGTGGGGAAATGTAGAAATGTTGGAAGATGTCCATTTGGTAGATCCAGATTATGGGAATCTTTCTGCCAACAAAAGCTTTGAGGTTGGATGAGGAAGAAACTTACCATACAACTAATTTGCAAATCTCTCTAACTCTACTCCCTTTTCAAATCTAGAACTTTCTTCTTGGTTTTATCATTATCGTGATTCATCTTCTCATTGCCACCCCTACTGTCCTTGTGTTCCAGGTTCAGGTAACCAACTATCCCAACCAATGGCTTTCCCAAACAAAGGTGATTTTGTGGAGGTTTCGGGTTCAACTTTAGTGTCCAAGGAATTGGTTAGTCGACTAGGAGGGAACAGAATAATGGTGAAGTCACAGAGATGGCAAAAAAACTAGGTCTCTAGCATTGTGACTCTAGCAAGGCCTCTGGTAAAGAATGGAATAACATAAGAGGTAAGGGAGTTGACCGAGAGATATCAGGAACAAAGAAAAAATTGAGAAAGGGACCGAGTAAGGAATTAAAGAGGTTACAATGGGGTATAGCTGATCAAAATATGGATTGTACAGGAAAAGGGAGTAGAAGATCAGGTAAGGGTAAGACCAACAGAGTTTAAGATGAAGATCCTGAGTTGGAATGTAAGGGGGCTGGGTGGTGAAATTAAGAGAAGCTTAGTAAAAGATACCTTTCGAAGAGAGAATCCCGACATTATTCTATTACAAGAAACCAAAAGAGAAGAGGTGGACAGGAAGTTAATCAGAGAAATCTGGGGTTTAAGAGACAAAAGATGGACTGCCCTCCCAGCCATAGGCACTTCAGGAGGGATCCTTGTCATGTGGAGAGAAGACGTGGTTTCAGGAGTGGAAGTTGATAAAGGCGAATTCTCCCTTTCAATACTTTTCACAAACAAGGCAGACGAGTTCACCTGGATTCTAATAGCAGTTTATGACCCTAATGCTCCATCAAATAGGAGTAGATTTTGGGAAGAGCTGAATTACTTGCATGAACATATGAGTTTCCCTGGTGCATGGGAGGAGACTTCAATGTCACGAGATTCAGTCAGGAACACTCCAATGGGAAGAGAGTAAATAGAAGCATGAGGGAGTTCTCCAACTTCATTTCCAGACATAGGCTACACGATCTCCCCCTAAGGAATGGTAATTTACCCGGTTGAACATGCAGGAGAATGCCTTAAGTTGTAGGCTTGACAGATTTTTAATTACTTTAGATTGGGAAGCCTAATACCCCCTGACCTTTTAGGAGATCTGCTCCCGTTGTACTTCTAATCACTGGCCTATCACCCTAAGTACAAATTTGGTGGTTAGAGGGAAAACCCCTTTTAGGCTAGAAAATTTTTGGACAGAACACAAAGACTTCTACAAAAAGGTTGCCTCGTGGTGGGAGAAATGTAAGACAGAAGGTTGGCCAGGTTACAAATTCTTGGAAAAAATAAAATTTTTAAAAAGGAAATTAAAAGGATGGGCCAAAGAGGAATTTAAAGCCTTCAACGAAGAGAAATCAACACTCCTATCTGAGTTGGATAATTTAGACCAAAAGGAGCAGATTGGTCATCTAGATGAGAATGAAAAAAGGAGAAGATTTGGGCTAAGAAAAGAATGGGAAAAGGTGGTAAGGAGGGAAGAAGTTTACTGGAGACAAAGATCTAGGTCATATGGTTAAAGGAGGGGGACAATAACTCCAGGTTATTTCACATATATGCATTTGGTAGGTGGAAAAGAAATCTTATAACAAAATTAAAAGTCGGGCAACGAGAAGTGGAAGACCCTGAGGAAATCTCTGAAACTTTCTTATACTTCTTCAAAGACCTTTACTTAAAGAAAGAAAACAAAATACTCTCTTTAAGCCTTTGGAAAGGGCTCAAATTGTCGGAGGAGAACAATTTGTGGTTAGAAAGAGAGTTTCAAGAACAAGAAGTGAATGATGCAGTTTTTAGCATGAATGGAGATAGAGCCCCTAGCCCTGATGGTTTCCCAATTTTCTTTTATTAGATTTGTTGGAGCATTATTAGTTCAGATTTGATAAAATGTTTAATGATTTCTATCATTCAGCCATTGTCAACAAAGGAAATAACTCTAATTTCATATGCTTGATTCCCAAGAGAAAGGGTACTTTAGAAGCAAAAGATTTTAGACCCATCACCTTGATTGGGAGTGTGTACAAAATTTTAGCAAAGGTTTTAGCTAAAAGATTAAAGAAAGTTTTATTTGAAATCATCTCCCTGAATCAATTTGCATATCAAAGTCAACAAATTGTTGACAACATCCTAATAGCAAACGAATGTGTTGAAGAAGTGGAAGTTGAATGGCAAACTAGGTATGATTGTGAAACTCAATTTGGAAAAAGCATACGACAAAGTAAACTGGGAGTGTCTCATGGAAACCATGAGACTAATGGGGTTTGGAAAAAAAGTGGATTCAGTGGGTTGAGGGATATATAAGCTTCACCTGGTTCTCAGTACTAATTAATGGGCAACCAAAAGGATATTTTAACGCCAACTGAGGTCTAAGACAAGGCTGCCCCCTCTCCCCATTGCTTTTTAGTCTAGTCACAAATTTTTAGGCAACTGGTGAATAAGGCTATTTCTCTAGGACTATTAAGAGGTTTTGAAGTCGGACGGGAAGCCACTTAGATTTTTCATCTCTAGTTTTCCAACGACACTATCCTTTTCCTAGAGGTTGATGAAGAAATTGTGTCAAATCTGAACTTCTCTAAGACTAGTATTGTTGGCCTAAATCTAGCTGGTGCACACTCTTTGAATACTTTCACAGAGATCTTGGGATGTAAAGCAAAGAATCTCCCTTTCTCCTATTTGGCTTTCTCCTATTTGGGGATGCCTCTTGGAGGGAATCCAAGAAATAAAAGTTTTTGGGAACCAATACTAGAAAAATGTG